AAAACCAATTCAACAAATATTGAAATATATTCATTTCTTTAATGTCTAAAATGATTTGTACATAAAATAGATACAAATGGCAGGAATTAATGAACACTGTACAAGAAATAAGGCCTCATATACTTCATGGTTTTGTTGCCAATAAAATCCACGCCAGACCTCACATCGAGACATGTGATGGCCTGGTGATGGGTAATGCTACGGTGGAACAAACAGACCAATTTGTAACAGATGTCAGTGACCTGATTGGACAGAAAGAGCCATTCACAGAAGAACTATGCAGTCATTTGGCCAAGCATTTACAAGATGGTAAATGCTTGGCTAGCAGCTGCAACCACTGAAGAGTCTACTCTTCAAGCCCAAATCTACACCAACCAAAGATATTGGCTTAGCATGGTTGGTGGCAAGTTGTGGTTCCACCCAGGGGCGGACTGACCATTTGGGAACTCGGGCACTGCCTGAGGGCCCGGGGTCAGAAGGGGGCCCCATGAGATGCCCCTGGTACCTTTCTTAGCCTTTTTTTGGTGTGGTTTGTGTGTGGGCAAGGACACATGGGGCCCCATGATCCCCTATTGCCCGGAGGCCCCATGAGTTGTCAGTCTGCCCCTGGTTCCACCTAATGGCTGAAACTGTGTCCTCTGCAGAGCTGTAGCGATCTATTGGCTGACACTAGTTTGCAGTGGGGTACACTTCAGGGTGTGTCAAATGCTGAATATTCTTTGGCTGGTGTAGCTTTGCTTGAGAAGATGCTGCAGCACAATGCATGACCATCTTTTCATTAGTCTGCAGGGAGGATGGTATCCTCAACTAGATGCTGCAGGCGAATGCTAGGGGAAAAGGCAAGTTAATTATCTAACTTTGGCCACCACCACCCCAAACCCCCATTTTATTTTTTTTGGCAGTGACCTGTTACCTAAGATGTTGCATGAAAGTCACCCTAAGTAAGTGGACCTGGTCACTGAGGTGGCAAGGTCAATTATAAAGAATAGGTCAAGCCAATACTTAAAAGTGGTTGTAAAAGCTCCAGGGTTTTGTTTTACCTTTATCCATTTTAATGTTTCCTAATATTTACTTGAGCCCCATCCTGGTCCAGCTTTGGCTCTCTTGAGACTCTCGCACCTCAGTGGCTAAGACAGCAGTGGGAGTCAGTCACAGCCAGTGAGCCAATGAGGTGTGAGAGGGGGTGGGGCTGACATGCAGAACAGCGGCTTGAGAACAAGTCTACTTGGGTGCCCTCCATAGCAAGCTGCTTGCTCTGGGGGGCAGGAGGGAGGGGCCTGCAGGAGGCCCGAGAAGAAGCAGATTGGGGCTGCTTTGTGCAAAGCCACTGTACAGACCAGGTAATTATAACATGTTTATTTAATTTTTTAATTGGCTTCAATATCACTTTAACCACTTGCCCTCCTGAGGATTTACTCCCCTTCCTGACCAGGACATTTTTTGTGTCACGGCGCTGCGTTATTTTGGCAATTGCACAGTCATGCGATGCTGCTCCCAAATTAAATTTACATCCTTTTTTTTTCCCCCATGAATTGAGCTCTTTTTCGGTGGTATTTGATCGTCTGTGTGGTTTTTATTTTTTGCGCTATGAAAAAAAAAGGCTGACAATTTTGAGAAAAAAAACAAAATTTGACTTTGCCAGTAAAAAAAAATGTAATTAATAAACTCAAATTTTGTCAAATTTAGGCCAAAATGTATTCTGCTCCAATCTGGTTTATGTGAAAGTGTTTTTGCAAAGGATGGTATAAATACTGGAATTTTTTTTTAATGTTTACTAGTAATGGTGGTGATCAGTGACTTATAGCAGGACTGCGGTGGGCATGGTGACACTGAGGGAAACCAACATGGTGTCACGGATATCACCAGTGGCACCAATACAATGATCAGTGCTTAAAAAAAAAAAAGCAAAAAAGCACTGGCACTGGGCAGGAAGGGGTGATCAAAGGGTTAACTGTTTTACATTGGCCTGTGTCCATGTGCTTCACTGTGTGCACGAGCTGATAGGGAGAACTGTTTTTTGTTTACAAACAGTTCTCCTCCCCGTCAGAGATGCATGGCAATCACTGGGTGCTGGCAAGTAATCACTGGCCAGGACCCAGTGATTGACAGCCACGAATGGCAGTACAGGTTGGGTGTGCCTCAATACATTGAGTTGCTGCCATGTGATTGGCTGATTAGCACAAATTGCTACCAAGCATTAAACAGGTGTACCTACTAAAGTAGCTTGTGTGGGTGTATGTGTTTTATATTATATATATAAAATTTATTTCTATCTCGCTCTCAAGAGTAGACTCTGCAGTGGTTTACCAATGTAACACTCATTACAAGCATACTTGTTATGAGAGAAACATGTCAATGGCCTTGCTTCCATATTTCTGAATCAAAAACCCAGAACACCACCTCTAATTCCCAGCAAATAGCCAAAGAAACACAACAGCCAGGTATCTACAATTTTCAAAGTGAGCTGGCACTAGTGATCTCTCCAAACTTCAACAGACTTTTCATTTAGAGAGAAGGGGGGAAGTTACAATAACATTTATTCAATCATTCTATGGTTTAAAACCAATGCCAATTCATAAAGTAGGGGCAGTCATCTAGAATTAGGCCATAAACTGCATTCAGCCAACAACCGTCACTGTTGCAGTGGCAATCTGCACTAAAGTGTATAGATGTTGTTGAGGGAGTAATGTAACAACTGAACCCTGCCAGAACCGAGCGCGCCACATCCATTGGAGGTTTGTAGCGTTTTTATTGGCTCAGAGGGGTAAATACTATGGGGCTGACTTACTAAAGGCATATATACTGTTTGCTTTGCAATCAAATTTTCCTTTAGCTTGGTGAATGAGGTGAGGCTCTGCTGATTTTCATCATCCAATCATGGGGAAGCAGAAATACAAACTAGAAAAAAAAAAATATATATATATACTCTCCTTGCATTAGATTGGGTCTACTTTCAAAGACAATTATCACATTAATGAAGCTAATGGAAAATTATTTGCAAATGAAGCCTATAAGCATTTAGTAATTCAACACCAATGGATTTCACATCTCCAATGAAAAAAAAAAAAAAAAAAATATAAAAACAGGTAGAAGAGTCTGCACCCTGCCAGGGTGCTAGAGCCCATGCACATTCGCATGTTGTACCAACACACACGCCTTTAGTGTGCATTAGGACAAGTAGTGTATTCATTTTGCAAGTTACAGTAATACATTGGTATAAATGAGCCCTTAGAGCGACAGACTTCTAAGCAGAGTTGCACACGTAACAGGCTATGGACACTCCCTTTAAAATGAATGCAAACCTTTACCCTACATGGACAACGCATAACTTTAAGTAGGTCTCCCCTGATGCTTCTGCTCTTCCGGTGATTCCACCATGGCTTTGCTCAGCCACCGGGAATAAAACAAAAGCCCAGGTGATCTACAAGGAGCTGGAGTCAGCTCTCCTAGCTATGACCACCCATGTGATGGTACTGATTGCCCAGACTTTCCACCCTGCATAGGAGAGCATTACATGCTTCTCCATACTCACAGTATCTTGTATGTGTTCTGGGCCTACACAAGTAAATATTTTTGAGGGTAATAAAAGCAAACCAGTTGCCTTGCCTGGAATAGCTGAAGCCCAGGAGAGATTCCTGCTCATCTCCCTGAATGGAGGTTAGCACAGGGTATACCGGTGTTTTTGTTGGCAGATAAAAGGTCACATGTGCTCTGCAGTAATTTCCATCCATCAGAGCTAGCCAAGTGAAGGGTGTGAATTTCAGCAAAAGCAGTTGTGAATCTCCTATCTCTTCATGCCCATGTAAAGATGCAAGGTTATGGGATCACTACCTGTGTCTCCTTCCCTTGTTACAGAAATCAGGGGCAAGTGACCAAAGCTGTGCAGCAATCTAGTAATATATAAGCTACCTGTACGAGGTATGGGTTAGGAACCCCAAGGAGCACAGCTCCTATGCCCACAAGAAGTCTAACAGGAGCCCTTGGTGTAGACTAATGGTCCCACTGACACCAACAATGGGACACTAGCCTTCCCCACTGATACCAATTATAGGGAACTACATCTCCATGTTCTGACCACCAACCCTGAGGCTATTTTTATTCTCACTGATGCTGGGTCCAGGACATTGTGGCCAGTGGGGGTAGAAAATTGTGGGGGGGGGGTGTAGGAAGACCAAAGTCAGCAAATTGGGCCTTTGATTGAAAAGCTTAGGACCCCCTGGTGTAGATTATAGGGCATTTAGAAGAACATCACCCCTGGGTACAGAATTCTATTATATTTTGTCATGTAAGGCAAGAGGATAAACCTTTGCACAACGGCAGGAGCAGAGTCTTACATTGCATTTTCATAAGAGTGGATCTTCTACATAGGCAACCATAGCACTCCAGCTGTTCTGAAACAGAAAGTCCCATGAGGAATTGCAAGACCAACTCCCAGAGACTCCCCCTCATTCTACATCCATTAAGTCCAGGATCCCTGCCTGTAAGTTATTGACACCCTGATGAAGGTAGAGCCCTTTAATATATATGAAGAAATAAAATGCTCATCCAAATCTATAGCTTTGGTCTAGTGCTTCCCTTCAGGGGCACCCTCAGGTCCTTGGTGCATGTTGGCACATAGCTCTTTGAGCTTGCTGAACAATTTCTATGCAGCTGGGCTGATCTTCTCCCTCATTAAGCAGAGCCCCTTAATAAGCTATAGCAACAATACCATAAGCTTTTTAATAAAAAAAAAAAACCAAACAAACACAAAAAAAAAAAAAAAAAAAAAACCCATTTGTAGAAGTCCACTGCTTCTAAGCACCTCTATCCTACAAAAGGCCTTAACACTGCATCTTCATACTAAGCACAAAAAAATTAAAATTTTGGCACAACACAAAATGCTCTAACAAGCTGTGCTGCCCTAGGTCATACTGAAAGGGTTGTTTAGAGTGGATAAAAAAAATATATTTCTTTTACAGCTTTCAGAATTAAATAGGTTTGTTCGCTAAAAACAATTCTATCTAAAATATATAAAAAAAAGGCATCATTTCAATTGATTTGTGCAAATTAGCAATAGCTTGGCGCGCAAGCTCATGTCCATGATGTGCTAGCCACGCGTCGCTCGTGATGAAGAGGTCAGCGCTCACACCGCGCTCTTCCCCCTGTTGTCCAGTTTGCTGATAGGCTCTGACAGGTTGTTCATTTGCTCTTCTGTGAATGTAATGTACGAGTAGACCCAAGCTGCCTGCAATACTGAAAAAGAAAAAAATAAATATGTGAGGTCTAAATGTAACAATTCGATTTCCTTGCATCCATGGCAACAGAATTTGGAAATTACAGATCCTATCAAGAGGCAGGAAGCATCCAGGGAGAGCAAACTGCCTCGGTCTCATAATCCCCCATCTGATGATGCCTTGCAGCAGCTGTGTTTGGGTACAGGAACCTGGAATTACCAACATGCATTCGTTTTTAGGATGGTGAGGGTTGAGGCAAGGGACTAGGTCCACAGAAAGTTGCTTTTCCTGAAACTGCACCAATGATAGGGCCCCATTTTATCCAATGGCACCAACGGTAGGGCATACCTTCTTTCACCGATATCAGTGTTGGAACACTATTCCTTCTTAACCCCTTCACGCCTAAGGGTAAAACAAATCTTAGAGCCCAAGTACAATTTTGACGTGTTCGTAAAACCACATATCATCACAACTACTTTGTACATCCAGGTGAATTATACCTTGTTTTTTTTCAGGACAAATTGGGCTTCCATTTGGTGGTAAATGGTAATGGATATAGCCTGATTTTTTTTTATTATCAAAGGAAAACTGGCCAAAAATAGTAAAAAAAAAAAAATAAATCTTTTTAATTTAGCTGTGTGTTTGTTACTACCATAACCTACCACCAAAGAAAACCCAAAATACATTTTCCAGCTCGACGATCACAGTGATACCATATATGTGTATGTTGTTTGTACCTGTACTACAGCCCAAAAACAATAGTGTGCCTTTTTTTTTTTTTTACCTAAAACACACTGACACCAATTTGAAAAAAATCCTAACCTTGACTTTTGACACTGACTTTGATCAAAATACTAACCCTGGCACTGAACTAGATCAAACCTTGATCTAGGTATATTTTCTTTTTTTTTTTTTTTTTTTTATAAAAAACAGTTTTTTCTTCTCTCTGCAAGGAGAGAGAGATGCATTGTATCTCTCCTTTTTTGGAGAGGGAAAAAAAAAAAAAAAAAAAAAAAAAAAACACAAGGGGGGGGGGCAGGCTTCACAATGACTGATCACTGTGATAGCCAATCAAAGGCTATCACAGTGATCATTTGACCCAGAATCGGGGGTCCAGATCATTAGAACTGGACCTGGGGCTCTCAGTGACACCCTGGCATTTGTGCTGTCTCCCACCAGCACAAAGGCAGGTTTGCAAATATGCGCCCCACAGAAAAAAAGCTCGGTTCTCTAGGGCCACATATTTGTGTGATGTCGGCGTGAAGGGGTTAAGACACTAACAATGAAACAGTATTCTCACTGACACCAATGATGGGGCCCGCTCTCTTTCTCCCACTACTACTAAAGATGGGGCCTTATTCCTCCTGTTACTGGCCAAAGGAGCTTTTTTTTTGTACTCCCACTGGTCTCAGTCAGGGTCTCCTAAAGTCTGAAGGAAAGTAAACTGGCCCTTTGTTTAGAAAGTTTGGAGACCCTTGCTCGAGTCTAGGACAATTATTGTGTAAGGACTACAGAACTCCTGCGCCTCTCGTCTTTTCCATAGATGGAAATGTTCTACAGAACTCTTGTGTCTCTCCTCTTTTCCACCGATGGTGATGTTCTACAGAACTCCTGCGCCTCTCCTCTTTTCCACCGATGGTGATGTTCTACAGAACTCCTGCTCCTCTTTTCCACCGATGGTGATGTTCTACAGAACTCCTGCGCCTCTCCTCTTTTCCACCGATGGTGATGTTCTACAGAACTCCTGCGCTCCTCTTTTCCACCGATGGTGATGTTCTACAGAACTCCTGCTCCTCTTTTCCACCGATGGTGATGTTCTACAGAACTCCTGCGCCTCTCCTCTTTTCCACCGATGGTGATGTTCTACAGAACTCCTGCCTCTCCTCTTTTCCACCGATGGTGATGTTCTACAGAACTCCTGCTCCTCTTTTCCACCGATGGTGATGTTCTACAGAACTCCTGCCTCTCCTCTTTTCCACCGATGGTGATGTTCTACAGAACTCCTGCTCCGTCTTTTCCACCGATGGTGATGTTCTACAGAACTCCTGCTCCTCTTTTCCACCGATGGTGATGTGCTACAGAACTCCTGCTCCTCTTTTCCACCGATGGTGATGTTATAAAGACTAGCATTTCTCACCCTCTAAAAAACGGGTGTCGTGACCACACCAAGCAAACAAAGTCTGGGGTACCTGAGATTTTGCATCCTTTATTATATCTAGCTTTAAATATACAATTGAAAGTGTGAATTTATGTAACAGACCCAAAGATAAGCTCAAAGTTCTACATGAACTTCCTTGCCCCAGCTGCAACAAAAATGAGCCGAGTTAGCTTTACTTGTACCTGCGTGGCATCACTTACTCCTTTGGAAACATTTTCAGGGAGAAGACGTCACACCCCTTTTACACCTTAAAGAACTACATGTCCCATAACCCTTTGGAAAAGTAGGCAGGGCAAAAGGCATTAATGTCCAATGCTGCCAGACCAACAGTGGGTGGATTTGTAGGTGGTGATAGATCAGCAAGACTCCTAGAAAGGATTACACAGAGTGGGGCAATTCTATTTACAGACTACAAAGGGCTGTCATAGGACCAGCTTGCCCAGTGCTATTGAGAGAGCAGCAGTGGCTAGAAAATGGATATGCAGGCCAGGGGTTTGTGTTCACCAACTATGATGGCACAATTTGTAGTCATAGGAAGCACAGTTTAGAACAGGGGTGGGCAAACTTTTTGACTTGAGGGCCGCAATGGGTTCATATATTGGACCCGGGGGCCGGACCAAGAGTAGATGAATGATGTGTATGTGTCATCCATAGAAAGTATAGTAATTCATCCCCCCTATAGTAATTCATTCCCCATATTAAGTCCCCAATTCACTTACCTTTGCTCCGCGCGTTCCTCTCGCAGTGCTCCCGCTCCGTTCTGGTGTAGCATGAAAATCTGTCTCCTATGAGGATCTGTCCCCCTCGACGTATCTGCGCATGTGCCAGTTTCAGGCATTAGCAGCCGATCAGCGATCTCCGGCACATGCACAGATACGTCGAGGGGGACAGATCCTCATAGGAGACAGATTTTCATGCTACACCGGTCTTCAGGGCGGACTGTGAGAGGAGCCTAGCTCCGCGGGCCGGATTAAAAGGTCCACCGGGCCGTAGTTTGCCCATTGCTGGTTTAGAACATCTGAGCATATCAAAAAGGTAAGTTGTCTACTGCCAACACACATTTAGGCCTCTTTCAGATGGCCGTTCTGTCTGTTTACGGATGAAAATTGGACACCCATGTATTTCTATGGACTAAGATGTAAATATCCATATCTATTAACTTTTTTTTGGAACGGAAGAAAAGCAGTTTTTTTTTTGTACAGAAGAATAGGAACAGACAAAAAAAAAAAAAAAAACAGCTTTTTTTTTTGATCAGTTCAGTCACATTTTTTCCAATGAAAGGACCCTTACGGTTGTGTCTGGGAGTTCAGCTTCAAGAGACCAAAAGGGCACAAGGAAGAAGATAATTTTGGGGGATTACTACAATCATACCTGATATTTAACCCCAGGAAGTTGGTCCATGTGAATATGTAGTCGTCTCCAAAAAACATTCCGATGTATGTGATGAGTATATTCTGCAAGGAAAGTGAAATGCTGTTAGTGTATCTAAATGTGCTAGTACGTTTAACAAAAGTCAAACTCCAACTCGCACTTTATCTCAAAAGGAAGAAAACTATTTGCTGTAACTGCTTATAAAGTTTTTACATAAATAAAAGCTGGTCATTGTAAGCACCTGTCAGTGGTAAAAATGGTTTGTCTCAACCTAATTGCTAGAGCTGCAGGATAGCTTGTCCTTTTGAAAAATTGCAGATTTACTAGCCAGAACACCAGGTTGGGAAAAAAAAAAAAAAAAGCCTAAAAAATAAAAAACTAATGCAACGCTCACATTTAACCATTTGCCGCCAGCCCTATGGCCAAATGGCGGCCGGCAAATGTCATCAGCGTTCCGGGTGGACGCCATATGGCATCCTCCCGCTCCTGCAGAGCCTCGCAATCTGTCACCGACCCCTGTCACCGGCCGTGTACCTCAGACACGGCCGACAGATCTGAGTACCGGCCCCTGTTGCCAGTACCATGTGACCTGCTGTGACCAATCACAGCAGGTCACATTACAATGGATGGCTTCATTCATGCCATCCAACTGTCTACTAGTGTCTAGCTGTGAATGGTCACAGCTAATCACATGCACATGTCATGTGATTAGCTGTGGCCAAATCACAGCTAAGCACAAAAAAAAAAAAAAAAAAAAAACCCCCGAATGAATCGATGTCATTCAGGTAAATGCTTGCTTATAGCAAAGTAATTCTATGCTATAAGCAAATTGGGGAAGTGATTTTTTTTTTTTTTCTTTTTACACAAAGTAGTACAATGTTACTACGGTAACATTGTACTACTTTGGTCATAGTGAAATATGAAAAAAATATATATTTTTTTTTTCCATACTGTCACCTGTCAGCGTCCCTGATCACCGCCATGCCAGTTATATGATGACGCTGTACTGCACTGGTGACAATATGTAAAAAAAAAAAGTGAAAAATTACAAAAAAAAACACAACTTCAAAAAACTCGCCATGCCTCTTATGAAGTACGTCGGACTGTCTACTTTGTAAAAAGGGGTCATTTGGGGGATATCTGTACTGTCCTGACATTCTTGGACCTCAAGAAATTAGATTGGCCGTCAGTACTTCAGGATTGATCAATATTCAGATCTATACCATAGTTTGTGAACTCTATAACTTTCCTACAAACTAAATAATACATCCTAATTTGGGTTATTTTTCACCAAAGACATGTAGCAGAATACATCTCGGCCTAAATTTATGAAGAACAATTATTTATTTGCAAACTTTTTATAAACAGAAACAAAGAACTTTTTCTCCAAAATTTTTGGCCTTTTTTTGTTAATTTAGCAAAAAATAAAAACCCCGGCGGTGATTAAATACCACCAAAAGAAAGCTCTAGTTGTGTGTACCCAAACTAAAATTTTATCATTTTCTTCAATGTTGTATGACCGCGCAATTGTCATTCAAAGTGTGAGAGCGCTGAAACCTGAAAACTGGCCTGGGCAGGAAGGTGTAAAATTGCCCGGTATTGAATTGGTTAAGAATTGGGAAGCTGCAGTATAGCAAAAATATTGCTTTTAGGTTCAATGCCACTTTAAAGCTTGTCATATAACACAAATTTTGTTGAGGATTTAGAATCAGCCAAAATACGGCATGCGAGTGTCCCTGTTGGTACTACCCAACTCAACAAGATTCAAATATCAAATTCGAACAAGCCAGGTGGAAACATTGTCATTGGAACAGTGAGCGCATCCTATTTGATGCAGTTACTGTTCAAGTATTCAAGCAGCCACGCTCTTGACAGCCAGCTATGGTATTCAGCAGCCATAGAGATTGCTCTATCCATGCTGTTCAGGCTAGCAATACATGCCTAGATTTCTCTTATTCAGCCTCCAGGCAAACTCCATTCAAAACTGGTAAGACTGTCCTGTATAATAAGCTAGCAGGCTATGCCACACATTTACCATTTACATACATCTCATCCACTCCCTCATCATATCACGATTACTGCAACTCCCTCCTCACTAGCCTACCTCACCACAGGCTATCCCCGCTTCAGTCGATCCTGAATACGGCTGACAGACTCATCCACCTTACCAACCGCTCCATCTCCGCCACCCCCCTCTGCCAATCTCTCCACTGGTTCCCGATTGCACAACGGATCAAATTCAAAATCCTAACACTGACGTACAAAGCCCAAACTACATCACCGACCTAATATCCAAATATCACCCAAAACGCACTCTCCGCTCCTCACAAGACCTCCTTCTCTCTAGCTACCTGGTGTCCTCCTCCCATGCCCGCCTCCAGGACATCACCCATCCTCTGGAACTCCCTACCCCAATCAGACTATCACCTACGCTCCTCTCCTTAATGCACACCCTGAAAACCCACCTCTTCAGAGAAGCCTACCCCGCCCTCTGCTAACTGCCGATCTCCTCCTCTCTTCCCACCACTCCATCCCCCACAGCTTTTCCTCCTGTGCCACCATCCCCTCCCTCCTAGATTGTAACTCCAAGGAGCAGGGCCCTCAATCCCCTCATGTATTGCATTGTATTGTTATTGTACAATCTCATGTATTGTCTCCCATTGTAAACTATTGGCGCTATATAATTCCTGTATAATAATAATAAATCTCAAGGGTTAAAAATTTCCCAGCAGCAGCTTGCACCTCTTGGCACTATGCAAAAAGATGACACACATTTTTATTTTGACAAATAATTGTGTATTATACTTTTCAAATGTAATGGTTTACCATTGTTTATTCTAAAAGTTTAGAAGTAAGCATCCTGCCTAGGAGCAAGCACTACAAGATGCAGCTATGACTTCCAATAAAACAGGAAAGTCTCTTCGTCCCTCAGTGGACACAGAAATGGCAGTTGGCAGGGTATATCAGTGGAAGCCAGGCACCAGTAACAAAAAAAGTGAAGGTAAATCAAAGGGGGCAGAGACAAAAGTTTTCTAGGTCAGTGGTTCTATCTGAATAGATCTAAAATGTCTCTCTTTCTGCAGTTGCAGCACTAAGGTACTGGCGGGCAACTCAACAGATCGTCAATCTTCATCTGCAGCTTTTGACTCAAAGTAGAACTATATGCATAAAAACTCTTCTCCCCCGTTTCAGTTTATTTTTTGCCATCTGTGTCCCATTGGGGAGATTTACCTTTACTTACTGTCCCATAGCCAAAACAGGAAGAGAAAAGGAAATCCCTGAAAATTAGGAGAATTCCTTGGGGACCCCCAGCTCACCAGAACTAGTAAGTTCCCCTCTTAAGTTTCTGGAGACAACTCAAAATTTGGGGTTTTCTTTACTTTCACTTTTGATAATAATGGTAAACAGTTACATAGTCTAGGTCAGCGTTTTTCAACTAGTGTGCCGTGAGATATTGTCTGGTGTGCCGTGGGAAAAATTGCAATTTCATCCGTAACAGGTGGCCTCGGCTCACAAATAGACCAATCATTAGAACAGCAATGGGCAAACTACGGCCCACGGGCCGTATACGGCCCAGCGGACCTTTTAATCCGGCCCGCGGAGCGTGATACTGTCAGGATGATCTGTCCCCCTCGACGTATCTGCGCATGTGCCGGAGATCGCCGATCGGCTGCTAATGCCTGAAACTGGCACAGGCGCAGATACGTCGAGGGGGACAGATCCTCATAGGAGACAGATTTTCATGCTACACCGGAACGGCGAGAGGAACGCGTGGAGCAAAGGTAAGTGAATTGACACGGGGGGGGGCTTGGGGACTTAATATGGGGGATGAATTACTATACGGGGGATGAATTACTATGCTTACTATGGGGGAATATTACTATACTTACTATGGATGACACATACACATCATTCATCTACTCTTGGTCCGGCCCCCGGGTCCAATAAATGAACCCATTGCGGCCCTCAAGTCAAAAAGTTTTTCAATAAAATTTTTTAACATTTTCTAATGGTGGTGTGCCTCGTGATTTTTTTCATGAAAAAAGTGTGCCTTTGCACAAAAAAAGGTTGAAAAACACTGGTCTAGGTTGACCTAGATGGCCTTTGGGTGTAGGATTAGAACTTTGGCTGAAAAAAAAAAAAAAAAAAAAAAAAAAAGACAGTTGATCCAGAGGAAGGCAAAAAACCCAGCAAAGCATGATCCAATTTGCTCCTGCAGGGCAAAAAAAAAAAATTAAAAAAAAAATTACTTCCTGATCCCCCCGAGAGACAAATCGGATATTCCCTGGATCAACTTTACCTATAAACAAAAAGGACAATAAAAAAAAAAAAAAAAAGTTTTGCCTTTGGTTATACTTTAAAATGGAATTAAAGGCGTTGGCTCCCACTGCTGTCAATCACAACCAATGAGAAAAGAGGGGGTGGGGCCAAGCATTGGCTCCGTGTGTGAATGTATATATGGAGCAGTGGATGCCCCCATAGCACTGCTAGCTGTGGGGGCACCCGACAGGAGAGCGTGCGGGGGACCCGCAAAGAGGATCTGGGCTGCTCTGCAATACCACTGCACACAGCAGTTAAGTATTTAGACAGGTTTGTTATTTTTAGAAAAAAAAATGCAAGCCTTTAGAGGTGCTATTCTCTCTGTAGAGGGGGGGGGGGGGGGGTCACAATCCCAAGGATGCCAATAATTTAGAGGCCATTATAAATACATATATTTTACCTTCCCATACATTTATTGCAGGAGTCTGAATTTTTTTTTTTCTTTGGTCTATGGGTCATGGAAGGTGTTGGGGGAATGTACTGGGCTCTGGTCCCACTAAGAAATACTGTCATAGACCGTAGTCATCTTGTGGCGTCTGCTCGGAAGCACTTTATAAACATTAGGTTTCAAATGAAGCACAAGTTCACTTTAATGTGACACACAGAACTTACCTTTAGACATCCAACTATTGTCGTCGTCAGAGCAGAATTATAATGGGTGCATAGAACCGTGGAGTACATTAAAATAAATCTAAAAACAGGAAAAAAAAAAAAAAAGTCATAAAATCAATGTGTAGATAAAGAATAGATTATCCCAACAGGTCA